GAGGGGAGGGAGGGGAGAGAGGGGAGTGGCAGAGACCACGGCGCAGGCAGTGCCGCTGGAAGGCGGCACGGGCTGGCTTGGGTGGCTTCCTCAGGGGTCGGGCGGCGCCCCCCAGCCGGCTGGCGCGACTGCCTGCTGCACGCCCATGCACACACCCACGATTGATTCGAACTCGTGCACGCTGCATCCCACCCATGAAGCGTGCGCACAGATGCTGCGTCCCTCTTTGCAACAACCATGCTTTGTCCCTTTCTCCTCTTCGCCCCCAAACAGGTGTTCAACTATGACTTTGGGTCTATCACTACAGAGTCACCCGTCATCAAGTCTGTGTACGGCGTGCTCAAGGGTGCGTGGGGCTGGGGGAACAGGTGTCAAAAGGCAGGGAAGGGCTTGCACAGGGGAGCTGCACTGCGCTGCTTGAGTTGTGAAGCTGGCTGGGAACGCTTGGACAGGGGCCCACGTTTGAGGATAGGGGGCTGCAGCGCCCGCTGCTGCCCCGTCTTGCAGGCCCCCCCTTGGCCCTTGCAACTGAGCACCTCCCCTTTGCCCCATGACTGGCCCTCCAACCCCTGAGACACACGTACACACACACACACACACACACACACACACACGCACACTCGCACGCGCGAAAACACATGCAGGCATGCCTTCGGACATGCATACCCACATTACCGGCCCCTGCCGCACCCAAACCCCCACGCCTCCTCCCCCATCCCGACCCCCCATCCCCCAGAGGCCGAGCACCGCTCCACGTTCTATATCCCCTACTGGAACGTCCCCCTCCTGCGCGCCGTCGTGCCCCGTCAGCGTCAGTTTGCTGCTGACATGGCGGTGATTGATGCGACGCTGGACGACCTGATCAGGAACGCGCGGGAGACGCGGCAGGAGGACGACTTCGAGGCGCTGCAGGCCAGGGACTACTCGCAGGTGTGGTCGCGTGCTCGGGGATCACTTGCTGATGGCAGGGCGGGAGGGGTGGGGCAGCGTGGGAAGGAGAGGGGGAAGGGGAGGGAGGGAATGTGTGCGTGCGCTTGTGTAAGTGTGTAAGTGTCTGTGTGTGTGAGTCTATGTGCTGATTGGCACGCATGCTTGTGCTCACGATGGTGGGCAGGGCGGGAATGCTGGCGGGTGGCGAGCGCCTGGGTTGTAGTGGAGGTGCGTTCACACCCAGTACAGGGCGTGACCCTCCCTGCCCGTTGACATCAGGCTGCGCCATGCGCGTGCATGAATTGAGTTTCAGCCTGTGATCTACTCCCTCCACACCTGCGCCCCGCTCACGCTTGCATGCGTGCGCGCTCTCGTGCGTGTGCGCTCGCGTGCGTGTCCCCTAACATGTGCGGCCGCACGCCCACCCGCGCAGGTCAAGGACCCCTCGTTGCTGCGCTTCCTGGTGGACATGCGCGGGGAGGACGCGACCGACAAGCAGCTGAGGGACGACCTCATGGTGGGGCCTGGGGGGGCATTGGGCGGGGGGATGGGGCGCCACCAGGCGCTCGAGCCAGCGGCCCGGCAGGGGCGGTGGACGCTGCACAGGGGCGAGAGTGGCATCCAGATCCCAGGATTGCGGATGCCTGCGAGCTGTGAGATGGGCGCTGTGTGCGTGTTTTATTGGGACAGGCGAGGCGGCCATGGTTGGTGACTGTGCTGAGGAGATTCTGCGGCCATCAATTTGCGGTGCTGCACCCAAGCCTGTCCCTGCGCCGCCCTCATTGACCCCCACCACACCTGCTGCCCATCTCCGCAGACGATGCTCATCGCCGGGTGCGCACACGGGCAACAGAGCAGGGCTTTGCGCCACGGGTTTGAATGTTATTGGGTGGCGCCTCGTGTGTGCGATGGGATCGTCGACAAGGGATCCCGCACAATTTTGTGCATGGTTGTTGTTGTGCGGCGGACGCCCATCCAATCTTCCTGCCAGCCTCGACCTGCATCAGATCTCGTCCCCCATCAGCGTGCACACTTAAGGATCTGCCGCGCCCGCCGTCTTGACCGCAGGCACGAGACCACCGCGGCCGTGCTGACGTGGGCGCTCTTCAGTGTGGCCCAGGCCCCGGCTGTTGAGGCCAAGCTGCTTGCGGAAATCGACGCAGCTGTGGGCGACAGGACGCCGGGTGCGGGCACGGCTTGGCAGATACTTGGGCTCAGAATTTGAATTGCGTATGTTTGAGAGCCCTGGAACTCAGCAGGGCAGGAGGCGAGGCGCTGGGTGGCAGGGAGCCAGGGTGTGCTGTGCACTGGCGGCCGTGTCGATGGGCGTGAAAACAGAGTCTGCGCTGGGGGCGGCAGCCAGCCAGGGCGCCCGCCGCTTGAGGTGTTGTCCCTTTGTCTGTGCTGTCCCAGGTTACAAGTTTCAGCAGCGAAGCGCCGGCAACCTCCAAGATTTTGTGGCGCGCACATACAGGTGCCCCCCCCCCCCCACACACACACACATGTGCCCGCACACACCCCCAGGCCTCGACGACATCAAGGCGATGCCCTACCTCCGCGCCACTTTGGCCGAGAGCCTGCGCATGTACCCGCAGCCGCCCATCCTAATCCGCCGCGCGCTCAGCGACGACGTGCTGCCGCCCGGCCTCAACGGCGACCCCGCGGTGGGCGGCAGGGCGGGGGGCGGGGG